TGGAGCTTTCCTTACCTCCTTCCCTTTCCCTTTTTTCCTTTTCCTTTTTTCTTTTCCCTTTTTTGCGCTCTGATTCACAATGTGACAATATATATTGTCATGTAAATATATATCTCTCTCTGCCTACGGTTTACCGGGCAGTTCTATTTGTGACGATATATATATACTGGTTTGTTGTCCTCTTCTCCCTCCCTCTCTGCCTACGGTTTACCGGGCAGTTTTGTTTGACGAATCTGTTTTTTTCTTTTTTCTTTTTTGTTGGCGGCTTCCTGATCTACCTCCCCTCCCCGGCGGTCTACTGTCCTGTGGCAGATGAAAATCGTGGCTGCATTTTCCTCCTTTTTTTTGTTTTCATAAGTCCTCCTTGATTTCTGAAATTTTCTTCCTTATTTCAATTTTTTTTTATTTCTAGCTGGGAGCGAAAGCTTGATCGAATGGACCGACCAACTGGCCTACCTTCTTCCCCCTTCTTTTTTCTGGGGGGGGGGGGGGGGGTCTCAATCAAGATAAAATTTGGCCTTTTGCTTCTGGACGTCTTTGGGGAAAGGTGCAGAAAATAGGGGATTTATCTGCTTTTGTGCATTTTTTTCTGCTTAAAACCCGTCCAGATGCGGGCGCTAAATTTTATCCTTTTTGCTAATAGTGGTACCTATCATCGGGGGCTCAGACTTTGGGTTCGAGGAAGTATAGCGAAGCGGATTTTTTATTGAAACCCGGAATCTGGACGGTTTTTGGGCAACAGTGCAGAAAATAGCTAGGCTACCAGCCGGGCCGCCCGGGTCACCCTATTTTCCGGGGCGGCCCGGCCGTGCAAGGACTAGGGGAGGCCCCAGTTAAAGAGGGAAAAAAAATCCAAAAAATCCGAAAAATCCGGAAAAGAACTGTGTTATGCAGAAAAAAAAGTGAACAACTTTTGCCTCAGGGTCACATCGAAGTTCTTTACCAAATTATTATTATTATTTTAATTAAAAAATAATGTTATTTTTTTATTTTTATTTCTTTTTGGCCCGGCCGGGCAAGTGGACCCGGGCCACTCTGGTTAGCCCAGGAAAATAGGGATTAATCATTAATGATTAATCTGCTTTTGTGCATCTCTGCTTAAAACCGGTCCAATTCTTTTCAATGATGGGACCTAACCTCGTTTTTTTTTTTTTTTGGTTTCCCGAAAATCTAATATAAGGTGCCGCGTCCTGCCATCCGATCTGGACATCTCACGGTATCGCTGTGGCCACGTTGAAAAGTACTAAAAAAGGAAGACGATTAAAAAAAAAAAAACACAAAAGCTCCGCGGCTGGTGGGACTGTCCCCTGAACAACAGAATTTAAGTCCTTTTTTTTATATATTTTGTTCTCTGAAATTTTAAATGGAATCTGCCATGTCATGGAACATATTTTTTGCCATCTTTCAGTACCTACCTACCACTACGCCTAAGGCTATATATAGAGGAGACCCCTGCAAGCACAACTACTACTGTATATCCAAACCTTGGAAGCCGATTAACCAACAAAAAAAAAAAAAAAAAAAAAAAAAAAGATTAAAAATAAAAAAATGGACTGGTGATCTATAACCCACTTTGATGCCCCCCTGATGATCGTGGTTCTTGGCGGCCAGGTGAATCCCGTAGGGCTATTGGCCGTATCTGTACTTAAAAAAAGTTTATTTTAATACATGAAGTCGCGTGCGGGATACGGACCGTCGTGCCTCATCTTCCTCCTCTCTCTCTCTCTCTCTCTCTCTCTCTCTCTCTTCTTCCTACCTCGCCCCGTTGTCTCTTTCCCTTACAGTCCAAGGTGTCATACTGTATGTATGATGGTGGTTGTGAATTGCCAGCACTATTTTTTTTATTATTTATAATAATAATAATATATAAAGCTATATTCTTCTCTCAATTTATTTCACCTCACAATGGCCATCACTATTAAACCACCACTACTACCTAGAGTAGTGCCCGTTAACGCGCCACGATTTAGGAAACGTACGGGCTACTACAGGAGCGCCCAAATTCATCCGACTAGAAACGTTTCTGCTCTATTTTTTCCACGGCTGATAGCTGGGCCAAGTACTGGTGGTTTAAGTGTTGTTGTGAGGTCTGCTGATACACACAAGTCCCACATACACCGTTGAGTTTAGCTATATCTCAACGGTGCAAGGACGCCTATGATCGGGATTAAAAAGATCACAAAGACATTGTAAATAATCAATGTATTGTCCATTTATCTGA